CATCGAAAAATAAAGACAATAAGTGGAAGTCCCTTTTAATGGGGAAAGGCTTCCTGGGCCTCTGTGGAAGGAAGTACTAACTCGACCAGAGCTGGCAGGGCAGGCGGAGCCAGGCTCCATGCCTCTGCATCTCCGCACCCGCATGGCCTGGGATGGCTGGATCCAGACAGGCACCCCTGCCTAGGGAGAATGAGTTATCATTGGGTTCATCGGAATTAGGCCCAACATCACCCCCCTGGAAGAGGCCTAACGATGCTCCTGAGAATTTAAAAAAGCCAAAGATCAAAGGAAAAATAAAGATCACAGAATAAGGGCTCCCCAAGGGATGGAGGGTGCCCAGTGGGGAGCGTGATCAAACAGCAGGCATGCCTCTATGGTCAGAGTGGTGTTTCCAACCACAGCATGGGTCCATCCTTGGCATATTATCAGAGGGACATGGAGGGCGAGTGAAGGCAGAGAGGAGCTATTCATTTTTTTAAAAATTGAGATAACAACATTATATAGTGAAGTGCATTCATTTTTAAGCACAGACTTTTATGGATTTTTACATAGAACTGTACTCATGTAACTACTACTTGGATCAAATATAGCACATGTCCAACACGTAAGGTGTTCCCTGCCCCTTTCCGGTTAATACCCTACTACTAGTAGTATACTACTCCCTCCCCCAGAGGTAACCACTGTTTATACACTCAGTTGTGAGGTTCATTCACGACGTTGGGCATAGCAAGAAGTTGTTCTTTTTTTATTGCTGATTCTAATACCTTTGTATAACTATACCCAAATCTTTCCATTCTCCTGCTCTTGGAGGTCTTTATTTCCCACTTTTGGCTACTATTAATAAAGTGGCTAGAAACATCCTTGCAGGCACACATTTAGCTTCAGTAGATACTTCCACAGAGCCCTCCCAAGCAGCTGAAGCAGTCCTCACTCCCAGCAGCTTGGTGCAGGGAAAAATCACCTCCACCCCTACCTTCCACCAGACAGGAGACATTGATCTGAGACAGATCACAGAGCTAACCAGGACAGACAAAACCAGAGGGCTTCTCGCAGAGAAACTAGGAGAATGTCTTCCTGACCTTGGGACAGACAGAGACAGAACACAAAAGGCATTAACCATAATGAGAAATATCAATACATTGGACTTCTTTAAATGAAGAACTTTGCTCCTCCAAAGATACTGCTAAGAGAGTGAACAGGCAACGTCATCTGTCATAGATATAGGCAATACACATGTACGTTTAACCAAGGGCTCTTATCCAGAATTTATCAAAGACTTGCACAAATCAATAAGACAATGACAGGCAACTGGATTTTTAAAAGTGGTTGAAAGGCTCAAAAAGGCACTCCAGGGACAAAAAGATTCCAATGATCTGTTAGCATATGAGAAAATGCCCAACCTCTCTGGTCATCAGGGAAATACAAAATAACACCACAATGAGATGCCTACTACAGAAACCACCCAGAGGCCAAAGTGAAAAGAAAAGTGATTTACCAAGAGTTGGTAAAGATGTGGAGCCAGGCGAGTGCCATCCACCGCCGAGGGAGTGCCTATCGGTGCGGCAACCTGGGAAAGCCGTTGGGCTGTTTGCACATCCTATGGCTCACACTTCCAATCCTAGGTGCACATCCGACAAAAAATGTGCACACTGGTACACCAAGAGACACCTCTACAGTGCTATTCTACAGCCACAAATGGAAACAACTCAAATGTCCAACAGTTATTCTCACACTTCCAATCCTAGGTGCACATCTGACAAAAAATGTGCATACTGGTACACCAAGAGACACCTACAGTGCTATTCTACGGCCACAAATGGAAACAACTCAAATGTCCAACAGTTATTTTTTATTTTGAAAAACTGGGGTATATTCGTATAATGGAATGCTATGCAACACTGAAGAACAATAAGTTCAACAAAAGATTCAACAACAGACGAATCTCACAGATATGTCATAGGGTGAAAGAAGCAAGACTCAAAAAAGATTCTATGTATGTCAAGGTCAAAACTAGGCAAAACTAGTGCGTGGGAGCAGAAGTCAGAGCAATGGTGCTAAGTACAGCAGTGAAAAGGCAAAGGGCAGAAGAGATGGATAACCACACACACACACACACACACGCATGCACACGCACACACCCCAGGGCTCAGAATTGTGAAAGAAAAGTCCAGAGTATTATAAGATAGAAGTGGGAGAGCTGACCTTATCTGGGGGCATGAGAAGGGTTGCCCTAAGGCCCAGAGGTTTGAGAGAAGGGTGAGCTAGCTAGACAAAGGGAAGTGCAGAGGTGGGACTTACAAGGGAAAGGGAATTACAAGCAGAGGGCATAGCATGTGCAAAAGCCCTGAGGTGGGAGGAAGCCTGGAACCTGCAGATGGCAGGTATGGCTAGAACCCAGAGGCTGAGCTAGCGAGTAGTATGGATGTGGCTGGAAGGTCATGTTGGGGCTAGACTGCACATGCCCACATGGGCTCCAATGATGATTTAGGGAAAGAAGGTAGGACATACCACCCAGGGTTTTAAGCAAACAAGTCAGGTGAGCTGGTGTGGAATGGAGAGGGGCTGTGGCTTTGGTCACTTGCACTAGTCTGGCTAGATTTCCTGAGCTGGGTGTTTCCATCTCGGGCCTGCCCACCCACCCCCGGCAGTTCTGCATCGTGCAGGACTGGACGTTCCTACTGGAGGAAGTGCCTCAGAAGGCTCTGGAGCTCTGCCCCGGGCTCACTGCTGCCTGGAGAAGGTTCCTGCACTGAACTGCAAGTGCACCACTAGACAGTCATTGTATTATTTTAGTGGTTTTTAGAAAAAATGGACAGAAGACTCTGCTTAGCCCTTTGGGGTGGTTCTGCCCACGTGGGCCTCTTGTGTTCTGGCTCCAGGCGTTTGTTCCGTGTCCTGACCTTTTCACTGAGCAGTTTCCTTGAGTTCAGTCATTTCTATATGGACAAGGCCGGGCAGAGGGCGCCAGCACGAACTCTCAGCAGGGAGGTGGATACCTGACTGCACAGTGTTGGCTACAGGGCATGCTGGGGAGGGAGTGGTGAGGACATGGCCAGAGCAGAGGGCATGCCAGCATAGGAGAGGGGAGATGGGCGATGAACCACTCTTTGAGGCTGTTGGGTGGGGGGTGGCCAGAGGGCAGGGTACCTCTAGTCTGGGTGCAGGTTAGCCTTGAGACTCAGGGCAATGGCCTCAAAAGTGTCAGCATTAGCTGTTTTCAATGTCAGGGACCCTTCAAACCTTAGTGCACAAGGCAAGGAGAAGCAGGGTGGGAGGGCCAAGGGCCAGCAGTAGGAAAGTGTTTGTAGGAGTGAGGCCCCTGACTTGATGGCTCAGCATGTGGAGAGCAAGTTAGTCAATGTCATAAAGGCAAAGTCCAATGTGGTACTTCCCACGTGCCAGTCATGGATCTAAGCACTTCACAAAGTTGTGCCCATTTTGTAGATGAGAAAACTGAGGCACATATTGTTTAAGGTAATACAACTAATATCACAAATCCAGGCAGTCCTGCTGCAAGCCCATACCTCTCTGCTCTTCTATGCTGAAATGTTTACCCACAATGGTGCTTTGTGGATAAACAGAGCCAGCAGCAGATAGCTTTGGCAAATCCGCTCCTGGGAACTCAGGAAACCTTCATTAACGACTGGGAATCCTTTAGAAAGACCAAGGGTCCCCTGTGGATGGGCCTAAGTCTTCCCAAGATATACGGATGATGTTGTCCCTAAGCTCAACTGACAGAGGTCTTGTTCAGACTCCCACTTCCTGTTCTCACACCATTCATTCATTGATTCACTCGATGATCATTTCATTGAGCACTGACTACACACCAGGCTTTTAGCTGCCAGGGCTATATTGGTTAAAAAGAGGAAGCCTTCCTTTCATGGTGTTGGAGAGAAAAGAAAAGACATTAAACACACACAATTATTTAACTATTAATTGTGATAATAGCTTTGAAGAAGAAAAGCAAGGGGCTATGATAGTGTATTATAGGAAGGATGACCTAGTCTACCCTGGGGATGAGAGTCCTTAGACCTAAGATTTAAAATGAAGTTCCATGGACCTCGAGGGTTCTATGGAAATTATTTCCAGAGTTATCTAAACCTTTAAGCTAAACTTCAATTAAATATGTATATGGACCATATTTTTAAACACAGTAACAAGAGAGCATACTCGTATACTCAAATGTGCCACACTGGAAACTGCTATTTCATTCAGGTATTGATAAGTTATCTTTTTTCCCTTGGAATAAAATTCTCCAGTCTTTTCTGTGCAGTGATTGAAGTTTACTGTAAATGTCTCACTGATGAAGAAGAATGATGCCCAACATTAAAATTTTTTTTTTAAATTCAGGTGTGGGAAAAGCTGATTGAATTTACTACCACCTGTCTTTATGAATTACAATTTTCTTGTTATTTTGCAGCCAAAAAAATATGAAAACATTGAATGCTGAGGTCAATGTCACCCATAGCCTCTGGGGTCAAATTGTTGAAGTCACAGAAGCAGATTTGCTGTTTTTAGTAAGTCTTTTTATGGCAAATAAATGTTGCATATTTGAACTTATACATATTCTGTTTTATATGCATTTCAATTTTTTATATTCTGGGTAGAAGTTCAATGAAATAAAGACAAGTTTGAAAATGTCTTCAGTTTAGAGGTGTCATTGAGACCTGGGCTGCCCTCCATACTGCTAGCTCCTCAGCCCCATCTCAGGCCCACCGCCTCACCCCTCATGCCCCATCCCTCCATGCTCCCATGGCCCTCATTCCCTCATGGCCCCTGACAGTGGCATGGGAACTCCTGACGGACAACCTACTGTCCCTGGGGTGACTCATCCTGAAGTGAACTGGGACTGATACAGGTCTCGAAACCGGATGGGAAAAGGATCTAAGCCTCAAGTCCATCCAAAACTTTGGAGTATTTTCAGCACCTTGGACAGCACACCTCCCCGAACCCCCACCCTGCTCAGGCAGGAAAGAGAGCAGACAGGGCAGCACACTCACCCTTCTTGGTGGCTTCAAAGCTATCGTGGAAGTGAATCCTCTGGATGTCATAGGTCAAGGTAGTGTTGGGCAGCAGAGTCCGGTTCCTGTTGATGATGTTGGCAGAAAATCGAAAGGCATGCTCCTCAGCGTTCATGACCTGGGCGTTGGGACCGTCTGCATACTCAAAGATTCCTCCTGCAAGAGATAAGTAAAATTGTATATACGTGCTGGGGAAGGAAAGGGCGCTACTAAAAATGCTTGACTTCAGAAAGTTTTATGGACAAGCTCCCCCCTCCCAAGTGTTCAATAATATCCTAGATAATTCCCATGTACAGAAATTGTGCTGGAGCATAAGAAATATGAAAATCCTCCTAGTTCATTTCACTCAGCTAGCAAACTCCTGATAAAAGAGACTGACAAACAGAGCCCAAATAAAATCACCAACTTATTAATACTGCTATGAAAATTCTCAATAGAGCACTAGCAAGTAGAATCTACCAGAATATTACAAGGATGACATACCATGACCATGCAGAGTTATATTCCAGGAATGTAAGTGTGGTTCAATATAAAGAAATCTATGAATGTCATTCCATCACATCAATAGTTCACAGGAAACAAAAGTATGACCAACTCACAAAACACAGGAAGGCATTTGGTAAAATCCAGTACTTACTGCTGTTATGAATGCTTAAGCACCCAGAAGGATACTTCCTTGAAGCATCTTTAGTTCAAATCAGTTTTTAATATCTCACAAATGGTGAAACACTGAAGACATTCTCATTAAAGAAAAAAAGGGGGAGGGGAAGAATTCACACTACACCATTAATCAATGAAATAAGAGAGAAAAAGAATTTAGAAGCATACCTCTTGGAAAGAAAAAATTTTTTATTTGAAAATGATATATATGCCTTCCTTAAATAAAAACCTTAAAATAATCCCTAAGCATGAAAACTAGTAGGAAATAGAAGATGATTCCACTTAAAGAACCAGTTAGCACAAATTAAGTGTTTCTTTATATCAGCAACAACCAGTACGTAAACAATGGCAAAATAATATCCTTTACAATATTAACAAAATATTAAATAACTAACAACAAACCACATAATAAGTGTGTAATCCCTAGTAATAGAAATGAGAAAAACACCTTAAGTGAGAGAGATAAAAGTAGACTTAAACGAGGAGGCATGTCATGTTCCTGGATATTTAGATTCAAGAGTAGAGGTGTCAGTTTTCTCCAAATTAGATTTTCAGTTTAATTCAATTCCAATTAGAATCATAGAAGGATATTTCTTTTACTTGACAAAGTGGCTCTAAAATGCATCTGGAAGACTAAACAGGAGATAACAGTCTAAAAAGAGATGAGAAGTGACTTGCACCACCAGATTTAAAATGTATCATAAAGCCAAAATAATTAAAACTATGTCCTTCCTTATGGTACATGAAAACACAGACAGATCAACAGAATGAGATAAAAAAAAGTGCCTAGAAAGAGATTCAAGTAGAGATAAGCATTTAAGATATAATAAAGATGGCTATTTCCAATTAGTAGGTAAAAGATGAATTATTCAGGAATTGTACTGAGACAATTATTCAATGATTAGGAAGAAATTTAAGTTATATTCTAATCTTAAGCCACATATCAAAATAAGTTCCAGATGGATTAAAGATTAAAGAGCAAGAAAGTAATGGAAGGAAGGAGATTTTGTTCTTTGTGCTTTTCTATATTTTCCAAATAAAATTTTATTTTTGTTCCTTTATTCGTTTTAAAAATAAACTTTACTGAGGTATTATTTAAGAAATCCCACACAATTCACCTCATGCTAAGTGCACAATGATTTTTAGAAAATGTGTTGAGTTTTGTGACCATCACTACAACCCAGTCTCTGAACACTTCCATCACCCCAAAGCTCCCTCGTGCCCACTTACACTCCATCATTGCTTTCACCCCCGACCCCAGGCAACCACTGATTTACTTTCTGCCTCTGGAGATTTGTCTTTCCTGGGCATTTCATATAAATGGAATGATGCTAGAATAATGCAATTTGTGGTCTTCTGCATCTGGCTTCTTTCACTCAGCATCATGCTTTGGAGGTTTATCTATGTTGCATCACGTGTAAGCTCTTCATTCCTTTTTGTTGTTAAGTAATATTACTTCCTATGGGTCTACCACATTTTATTTACCCATTTACCACCAGTGGATGGGTATTTGGGTTGTTTCAATCATTTTGAAAAAATTTTGTAAATAGTGAATGTTTTAAAAAGTGGACAAATAAATCTGCCTCCCTCCGCCCACCCCCCCACTCCCCAGTATTCCAGCAGGCTCACAATTCATAGTGCAGTGTCCCTGAATGTAAGTGTGGGTGGGTGTTCACAAGCAAACCAAACACACGAATAAAACAAGAAGAATGCATCCCCAAACATGAAGAAGGTAGGATTATGGGTGACTTTAATTTCCTTCTTTGTGTTTTTCTATATTTTCCTAGAGTACTGCAGTGAACGTGTGTTCTATTTCTCATCAGAAAAGCGACCAAGTGATTGTGTATATGTGTTGCAAGGACAATAAATGATCAAAATACATTATAACCCATTTCTAGGGATATAAATTTAGCAAAAGTTAGAGATGCATTAACACATTTATGTATAAAGATATTCTTGACATAATATTGGAAAAACACAAACAACTCAATGTTCAAAAGTAGGAGGTCACTCAATATATGAAAACTTGCCCATATGGCCAAACACCTTGCAGGCATCAATAGTCAGGGGATAAGAGATCAAGATGGAGACGTGGGCAAACGCCTGTATTTGCTGCCTCCCACAACCACATCAAAATTACATCTAAAATACAGAACAACCATCATCCAGAATCGCCGGAAAGCTGGCTGAATGGAAGTCCTACAACTAGAGAAGTAAAGAAGAAAGCACGGTGAGACTGGTAGGAGGTGCAGAGGCAAGGACGGGCTGGTCTGGCACCCACGTGTGCCGCTTTTTTAATCAGGAGGGAGATCATCTCTGCAGAGGCCGCCCAGAAGAGCAAGGGATCCCAGTCCCACACCAGACCCCCAGCCCAGGGTCCCAGAGCTGGGAAAAGAAGTCCCTATGGTCAGTAAGAACTATGAGCTGTAAAAACCAGTGGGGATTGGGGCTCAGTGACACAGAGGTTGCTGGAGACCCAGTTGTTCCTCTTAAAAGGCCGGCACACAAACTGAACTTACAAGCTCCAGCTTCCTCGGAGCTCCAGTGCTGGGTGAAGCTCTGGGGGACCCAGACACATACAAGGAGGAACTGGGCTGTCTGGCATCGCAGGGCAGGAACTTGGGGGCTGCTTTCTTTCAGATGGAGGTGCTCACGGTGGTCATTGTTCCTATGCTGGGACCTCCCCAGTTGCAGGGCTGACTGGCAGCCATTTCTATTTGCTTTGCCCTGAGGATTCCCTGAGACTCCGCCCCATCCAATTTATAACCCCACCCAAGCTGAGTGCAGCAGCTTTTGCATATGAATAGCCTGTCCTTGCTCAAGCTAAAACCTGTCAAACAAGCTGCAGCTGGGTCAGGGAGTCCCAAACCTATCAATAAAAGGCCCAAGACCAGGCACCAGCACTAGCCTGCCTTGCTTCACAGCTGGACCTCGTCTGGGCACTTCCAAACCCAATACAAAGAGGAGGAATCTACAGATCTCTCTGTAGCTGCTGGGTGACCCTAGGCAATGGCTGACTTTGCACCTTCCTGGAGACCCAAGAGCCAGTGTACCCAGTGGTCAGTGTAGGACCATACCAGATTATCCATAAGTGACACACTCAAGGGGCAGACTCAGTGAGCCCCAAAACCCCACTGAAGCAAGTCATGCTCCATAAGGGTGTCTTCTGCACAGCAGCTCTCCCACTGTAGTCACAGCTGGTCCCCATAGCCAATTGGCCTGGAGGTTAATTCCTCCCAGTGACACCAACAGCAATCAAGGCTCAACTACAACAAGACTGTGCACACAGCCCACAAAGGGGTGTACCTAGAATGTCCCCCTCAGGTGATGGGGGAGGCCGAGCCACTGGGCCCTATAGGACACCCACTACACAAGGCCACTCTATCAATTCAAGGAGACTTAGCAGCTCTACCCAATACATAGAAACAAACAGAGGGAAACAGCCAAAATACAGAGACAGAGAAACATGTTATAAATGAAAGAAAGGGGAGAAAGTAAATTACTGGATAGAGTTCAAAACCTCAGTTATAAGGTTACTCAAGAATATAACCAGTCAGGAATTTAGCATACACTATACAGGGATTCAATAGTAGACCAGAGGATCCTGAGAATCAACTCAATGGTTTGAAATATGAGGAAGCAAAAAACACCCAACCAGAAGAGCAAAAAGATAAAAGAATCCAAAAATATGAAGACAGAGTAAGGAGGCTCTGGGACAACTTCAAGCGTACCAACATCCGAATTATGGGGGTGTCAGAAGGAGAGAGAGAGCAAGATATTGAAAACCTATTTGAAGAAATAATGACAGAAAACTTCCCTACCTGGTGAAAGAAATAGACTTACAAGTCCAGGAAGCACAGAGAACCCCAAACAAGAGGAACCCAAAGATGACCACACCAAGACACGTTATAATTAAAATGCCAAGGGCTAAAGACAAAGAGAGAATCTTAAAAGCAGCAAGAGAAAAGCAGTTAGTTACCTACAAGGGAGTGCCCATACAACTGTCAGCTGATTTCTCAACAGAAACTATGCAAGAAATATTCAAAATGATGAATAGCAAAGACCTACAACCAAGATTACTCTACCCAGAAAAGGTATCATTTAGAATTGAAGGTCAGATAAAGAGCTTCACAGACAAGAAAAAGCTAAAGGGGTTCATCAAACCAGTATTATAAAAAATGTTGAAGGGTATTCTTTAAGAAGAAGAGGAAGAAGAAGAAAAAGATAAAAATTATGAACAACAAAGTGGCAACAAATACATATCTATCAACAATTGAATCTAAAAATCAAATGAATAAAATATCAGAATAAACTGGTGAATGGAATAAAATCAGGGGCATGGAAATGGCACAGACTGACTACTCTCAGAGGGAAGAGAGTGTGTGTTGAGGGGGTGGGCAGGAAGAGATTAGACAAAGATCTTATAAGCATGTATGCATTACCTGTGGACACAGACAATTGGGTGGCGAGGGCCTGGGGCAGGGTGGGAACTCGGT